CGATGGGAAATAGAAAAGAGTTCAAAATGCCCCCTCCCCCCGTCGCCGAACTGCGCTCAATAGCAGTTACGAGGTGACGATTTATTGAAAACATTAATTGAAAGATGGCGAAAGGACGGTTAACTTCAAAGAGTCAGGAGTTATTTGCAACAAGTAGAAGGTTTTCAGCAGAAAATAATTAACGAATGACTCTTTGTCTATTTCTACCAGCGACATTAAATAAAGACCTGAAGTGCGCACCTTGTACATTCGGGCCAAATCATCGTCTTTGTTCGCTTCAAGCAATGCGCCGAACTCATTTTGGAATAACTCGAGCTGTGCCTCAATGAGAACCTGAAACCAGACACATAAAGTTTCGGTTGCAGCGGATGCTAAGATGCATCGAGAGAGGACTGGGTTCGACGCGGAACCAGCTTGTTTTCCACCAATTCTGAAACTGGCAAGCGACCGCAATTGGCAGAAAACTGACAGAAGCCGCATGCGCTAAACCCAGCCTTCTTGATACGCTCCAGGGTCTGCAGCGAGAAAGACTGTAACCGCTAGCGAAAATGGTTTGCTGGTGTCTACTTCTAATGATGAGAAGACTCCACAACCTTAGGGGTTTTGAGAGGGGAATGAATGGAAATAAGGACCTTTTCACAAGTCTTCGACAAAGGTTCTTGCGTTGCCATGTGCAAGTACATATCACATCGAGCGCGCTCATCCTCCAGTCTTCTTTCAACCTTGAAATATTGCCTTTTAGAAGGAACATTGAAATTCGCATGGAAATAAAAAGAACTACAAATTAATAGGTGAATTGGTCGTCACCTTTTTCATATACTCCGTTAATGGATTGTGTTCAAGGAAAACCTGCGCTTCATTAGCATAGTAGTTTTCAGTTTCTCGAAGGAATTTGGCTTCGAAATGGTCCTGAAATAAAAACTGTTTTCCATTTCGAGTTCGACCAGTTCAAAGAAGCCGTGAGGATTCGTGATTGAACGTACCATGTAAACTTTGAGCTTTGCGTTGGGATTTGGCTGGGCAGACCGCACTTGGTCTGGCGTCTCATCTTCTTCTATACCGAGCTCAACTGCAACGGCAATCATAACAATGAATCATTCTAAGAAACGCGCTCAAAAATCAGACGTTTCTGACCACGCGCCGTTGAGGGGTTAGAATAAAGCGTTCAGGGGCAGGTCCAACCCAGTGAACAGAAGAAAGAGGAAAACGACTAACCATAACAATCAGTCACATCACGTATGAGTTTACGACAAATAGTTTCGCCATTCCTTTCCCGCCTGATCAAATCGAGCACAGCGTCGGTAACCCGTTCTTTGCTTTCCATGAACAAACTCCGTTTCCAAATCACCAATGCTAGCTGAAAGCTTTCAGAGTAGGGGAGCAGATACGATTCAAACATAACCAGACAGACGTTAATTGACACATGCCGAAAAAACCTTCACTTCGGGATTTCTAAGATTTGCAGCCTACTCCGCTAGTCTTTATGATCTTCATATACCGAGGGCGAGGCGGCAAGGGCCCGAGCTGCGCACTTCTTTTGACATAAGATGCTTTTTTTGGGATATTTCCATTTGATGCAACCGTCCTTCAGCCGTGCGCTGGACAGAGACGACTACAGTACTCCGGGACATAATATTCAATCAAAACGCACCCGTCGCCGCGATAACATGAGAACGCAACCACGCCCACCCATCCAAAAACAGACCGTTCATACCGCGTTGTTGAAATCACTGGAAAATATGACAGCATGGGCAGGTTCATGGAATCTCAGCCTTAACTTGGCTAAGTCTCAAGTGCTTTCTCTTTCCTACTCGAGCGAGGAGCAAAAACTTTGTTTTCATGAAATGTCTAGCTGTGATTCTATTAAAGACCTTGGAGTGATGGTCACCAAAAACCTTAAATGGAAGCTACATATCGATAGCATTCACAAGAAAGCTTTGAAAGTTATCTATTGTCTGTTTCGTAACATTCATTGCACTGATTTCAAAGCCTGGATTAGGTTATATAAGACTTTTGTTCTGCCCATCTTGGAATATTGTTCTCCCGTATGGAGTCCCGTTTTCAAGAAAGATATAAATAAAATTGAGAGTATTCAAAGGATTTTCACTCGCATTCTTTTCTATCGTGTCTTCCCCGACCCAAATTATCCACTATCGCTACCCTCATACAAAGCTCGTCTCGATAAATTAAACTTGAAAACTTTATTTTGCAGAAGAGTTCAGGCTGATTTGATTCTGGCGTAC